TATATATATATATATATATTATAAGTCAAAATTTGTTAACATCAGGTATAAGTCTAAAAACTTACATCAAATCTTATATCTTCAATAACTTTTCTTTCATATATGCATGTTTATATCATGTGCTGATATATGGTGTTTGACATTGATAGTTGTGTTTTAGTTGTCAATAGACCTTTGAGGATTTAAGAATCCTTGAAAGTTAGGTTGTTGTCATGAGTCATTGGACTTGAATTCAAGTTTGATCAAGAAGGGTGAGAAGTATATAAAGGTTTCTAGAAATTGAAACTTTATAAGTTCATTTTCAAAAATCTTAGAGATGGGAGTTCTAAGACTAGGAAGAACATCTCTACATTGGATCCCTTTTGAAGCATCTTTACCTTTCTCTAAAGTTGAGATCAAGTCTCAAAAGTTGGTTCAAGCCTTATGGTGCTTGGATTTTGAGGAGAGAATCCAACCCTAGAAGGTTTGGTGTTTTACTTCTTCCCCTTTTATTTTAGTTTCTGGTAAGTTGTTTGAAGTAAGGAAAACTTGTTGTTTGATTCTTTAAAGTTGTATATTTTTTTTATTCACCCATTTGTGACTTATATGTTGAGTTTGAACGTGTGCTGAAAGTTGGTGTTTTTTTTCTGTTGTTGAACCAAAAACTTAAAGTTGTTGATTCTTGACTTTTAGAGGTTGCATGTGTCATCCAAAGCTTGAATTGATTTGATAATATTGTTTTAAGTTGTTTTGATGGATTACATGTAAGTTTTAATGGTTGTATGATGTTGAAGAGTGCTTACATATTGGAAATGCAAAGCATTCTCACTCAATGAGACCTTTCTTGTCATTCGAGCCTTTAATGTATAAGGTCCTACAACCCAAAATTTGTGTTCTCAATCAACGAGCCCTATCTAACTCAACGAAATTTGGCATTGTTGATAAACACTTTAAAACTTTGCTGAGTGAGCTTGAGCCTCTCTGGTTAGCCTTGGATACTGTTAGACTTTTTGCAACCGTACCAATTATCACAAGTAGTAAAATGTATAAAAGTTCAAGTATTGAATCCATAGGGGCTTGTGTAACAACTAATTAATCTAATTTAATGCAAATTAGGATAATAAGAAGAATTATTCGTTTGAAGAATGCTAATAATGTTAATTTATAATTATAATTATTGATCATTTTACATTAACAAAATTAACTTTCTTTTAGCATTTAACTAGCTTAACCTTCCTTTTAAAATGATTTTTTTTGTAATTAATTGGAATTTAATTATCATTACTTAATTATACCACTAATTCCCAATTTTGGTTAACATTTGATCAAGAAGTCAATTTAGAGCAAGCCAAGAAAGAAAGGACACATGAAAGTGAAGAAGAAAGATTCAAAGAACCTCTCCTTGAAGATTCTACATATTCGGGCGCCACTCTACTCATGCTTGGTTCCATCTTGGCAGAGAGCTACTATCTCACTAGCATTG